AGTCGTTAGGGCAGATTCTCCAAATGCACGGGCTAAGATTTGTTTGAGCTGCCTTCTTCCTTGGGCAGCTTCAGGTGAGTAGCAGCAGGAATATATTCATATGCACTCCAGGTAATGGCATAATAAGTAGGGTGTTAGAAAGGGCTTTGTTCCAAAGTGGGAAATAATTATGACTCTTAATTAGTTATAACAATTACATAAAAGTCCTATGTGAGTCCAACATTCACCTTTTTACTGTTTGCATGATGATCTATGGGCAAGAAAGGTAACAGAATGGAATCTAGCAAAGAATCCTCTGCTCTCAATTGAAGAGTTGCATTTGAAGGTGGTGGTAGTCACATAAGTTCTTAAAATTCTCTTCCAGTTACCCATACCTTTTCCTTTTGGCTTCTCCTACCCACCCAGAACCCACTCTTCCTCTCTCATTGGCCCCTACGAACAGGCCAATGAGGGTGCGTGAAGATAGGAAAATCCTTAAAGGAAAGGATAGGAGAACCCACAACAATCTCAGGAAAATCAAGACAGTTTTCCCATCGCTTGAGGATGCCCATTTTAGGAGTCACATGTTGGTTATTTGGAATTAATATGCAAACGTAATGTTGACCCTCGTGTTGCTCACACTCTGCCTGTGTTTACACACAGAGAGCCACACATCTGCCCCCGCACACATCAGGATGTACTCCTCTGGAAAATCTCAGCCACAATCAACTCAAAAGACCAGCACTGAAAGATACGCACGTATAAGGACATCATCAGATAATCACTGCTGTCATGATAGCCAGTTTCTACTGTGGCTGCATACATATGAAAGTAAAACTGGGAAACCAAGTGGATATTTTAAAAACCAGTAGAAATCAGCATCTTTTCCTCCTGCCTTTGACATTGCTTTGTGCCATTCGACAGCCTAGAAGCCCAGGTACCACTCACTGACATCACGGAGCCGACAGAGCTCCCTAATCCGATTCATCAAGGCTGCTAATGGCTCCTGGCACAGGGTGTGCAGGCCATATTGCTGCGATTCCAGGAGGCCGGCAGCTCAACACTGCACAGGCAGCCCAGCCACACGGGGGAAAGTGGAGTTGACGACAACTTACACTGAATTTGCATATATTTGCACAGCATGTCAGAAATACTTCTAATCTCCAACAGACCCAGAGCCGAGGAGAACTGGAGAGAAAACAAAAAGATTTGGTAAAGGGGATGATGGAGCTTGGCCAAGGTCTGAAATCTCTTCTCCAGATGACATCTACACTTCTGTTTTATTTGCCTTGTTGGGGATCACTAATAAAATTATCACCAGGTTCTTTTTCAGGCTGTTGCCTTTGTTTTAAGGTGACTGATTATTATTTTGGGAGGGGAAGAGGCACTTCCTGTAGCAGCAAAGGGAGTTGTGATTAACACATTTTTCTGCTGGAGGCTAACAGGTGTCTTCACATGCCTAGGTAAATAACAAGAAATTATAGGTTCCATATAGGAAATGTATGATTCTGTACTCTGATATTCACCCACATACACTGAGCCAGGCCTTACCCTTGTTTTCTGAAATGAAGGGACATAAACCAAAATGTTTCAGGAAGGGTGGAAAAAAAGGCAAGCAAAACGGCATCAGGACGCTGTACACCATCTGCACTTTCATAGAGCACTAATGGGGAATAATTACATTGCTCCTGCAGCCCAATAGCTACAAGTCTCTGGAAGGGAGACTGGTTTCCCAAACCTTCCCATTGGCTGTTTTCTGGCAGGGTTGAACATTGGAAGTCCGATGCTGAAATGGCTCATTAAGAGAACCTTGAAAAAAGAGGGTTGCTCTTTGAATCTTAAAGACAGTCATGAGTAACTCAGAAGGCTGTGCAGAGAAGGCCTTCTCTTGTCCCTCAATTAATTTTCAGTGGCTAAGGACTAAAGAAGTGCAAAGTCTTTACACGTAAGACTTAGAAGAAGAGAGGGTTGATAAACGGGGAGGGGTGAGAAGGGGAAGAGAAGAGAGAGGGTGAGAAGAGAGGAATGAAGGAGAGGAAAGGAGAGGAGAGGTAGAAAATACTTTCTCTAGCCAGATACTGACAAAATTTCTCCAAGACTGCTTCTCCAGAGGAACACTCACCAGCTGCTCCCTGGCAGGAAATTTAAAACTGTCAAGAAGTTCCATTTATTGCTGGCTGATGAGTTCGGCAAGGAAAGGATGCTCTGTGCACCTTAAGTGAAATTTCAATCAAGCCTGGCCTCTCTGCTGCCGAGGTCGGTGAAGAAAGCAGATCTGAATGGGCAGCAATGAATGCACTTATCTGAAAAGCCTGGCCAGTAAGGGCAAGTCAAGCAGCCAAGCAAGAGAGGAGTTGTCCTTCCTGTTATGACCTTGGCAAAGATACCCCCACGGTTTGGGGCTTCCAAACGGAAGTCTACAAAGTGACCTCAACGGCCCACTGCCGTCCAAACTCCAGCTAGTGACTCTTTCCCAGCAAGGGTGGACCTAGATTTCTGGCCACCTGCCCCAAAAGCCACTGCCACCCTCAGTTCTTTCTTGACAAATGTAAGGTTCACTTGCTCTATTTAGATCAGGCAAATTCAGGCTGAATTTGCCCAAAATCCTCCATGAAGCCTTCTAGAACATGCCAGCACATATGATGCTCTCTTCCTCTTTGGTATCCCTATACAACCTCCTGAACCATTCATGACAGCACATGCTCTTCTATGGCCTTGTTAGGTTATTCTCTTCCTAGTGTCTTTGATGTGTTTCCAACAAAGTTGAAACCTCCTAGAGACCCACTAGGGCTGGGGCTCACATCCCCACCTCCCTTATCTCCTTAGGGTGCTCCCTTTACCTGTAAAGTCAGCCTCTTCCCGTTTTCATTTCTCTTGTTTCAAAACCCAGTTCCACACAACTCCTATTTACCATCCTATTTTTCCCATTATTGACCTATAACCTCACTTTTTTCCAAAAAGTATTTGAAGAAACCTGGGAAACTGCACTCTGGATAAGAAAAACAAATATCAAATATAAAGAAAGGAAGAAATCAGATAAATGGAAAATAAGATGAGGATAAAAATGGTCCAAGTTAGTGGTGTGTTGAATGAATTCACACAAAAACACATGCCTGGATGTTATATCGTCTGCTAGAAATAGGATGCAAATCTGACTCCATTTCTAGTGACCACAGCATAGAGAAAAACATAATCAGAGGGAAACATAAAACAGGGCATAGTGTCTGTGTGATGAAAACAATTCAGCTGCTTAGGGAAGGCCAAATCATGCCTGGTATTAAGGCCTGAGGGAAAAGTCTCCTCTGGGTCCCATAATAGAAGCCTTGTGTGGTAAGATGACACAGCCAGTGACAGGAATTGATGCCAAATAATACCAAGCATTATTGAGTGATGAGAAAACAGAAGGCACAAGGCAGCAAAGATGCCTGCCTTCATGGATCCTGGATTTTACTGGAGAAGAGATGGGCAATAAACACGTTCAAGTCATTAGTTGAAAGGAGAGGTTAGGAGAGGTAGGGTGTTCAGGAGAAGGTCTTTCTCAGAAGGATGTAGAGGCATCAGCCATATTAAGCCTTGGACCATTTTTATAAGGTCCCCTGTTTTAGCCAGTGAATCCAAACCCTGATTTTGAGAAGGTAACTCAATGAGAAACCTGTATCTTGTCTCCCATCTCTTAATGATCAAGGTTCTTGAAAGACCTGCCTATACATGCTCTCTCTACTCACTCACGTCCTAGCTGCTCCTCATTCCCCATACCCTGCCTTCTGCTCCCCTCCCTCCAGAGAAACCCCACTAGCTATGGAGTCAATGAAGCCATTATTGTCACTGGAAATACTTTCAGTCTTTAGTTGATTGGGAGTTTTTGTATTTATTACTATCGATCATTCCCTACTTGGAATTCCCACCTTCTCTGATGGTCCCTCTGCTCGGCTCACTTGACATTCTCTCCTGGTGATTTCAACACACCCTAGGTCTCTGGAAATGACTCCCATGTCTGTGTCTAGCTATAGCCTGTGGTGCTCTGCTAAAAACCAGACCTATGTGGTCCACCATCTGCTGGAGAACCCTAAGTGAATGAGTTGCAGGCACCTTCCACTCAACATGTTTAGAATTTTCCTTTCCAACCTGATTCATCTCCCAAATTGCCTACATTCACATGTCCACCATCTACCTAATTGCCCATATCAGAAATGGCAGACTCATCGTGAACTTCTCCTTCTTTCTCCTCCCCCATATCCAATCCTGTTGCTGCTACCATATGTATATATATATAGTATGTAATTACTTTATGTCTACCAATGAAAATTAATAAGTAATATTTTTTGAGCACTTACTATGTGTCAGGTGCTATTCTAAGTGCTCTACATTTCACATACAATGTATTACATAAACCTCGCAAACACAGGATGGAGTAGGCATCGTTAGCATCTACCTTCCACAGGGGAGGGGAGTGAGGCACAGAGAAGCTGTGTGGCTTGCCTCGGGTCACACAGCAAAGACATAGGAAGCTAGGATTGGAATCACTGCAGTTTCTGCCTCTGGGGCTCACACAATATCACTGCTTTTTATTGATTCTCACCTAGATTACTATAATACACACTTTCAAACCAGTCCACAGTCCTGACCCCTTCCCCACAGTGCCATCTAAAACTCAAATCTGACCTTGCCACTCTCTGCTTGAATCCCTTCCACAGTTTCCTCTGGCCTTCAGAATATATTTCAAGCCTTTGGTCATTGCATGCCACCAATCACTCCTACACCCCTATTCTCCTATATACACCCACACATCTATTGTATCCCAGGAATTGTGCTAACATTCCTGAGCATTACAAAATGTGGTTTCTATCATCAAGAACATTTGAATAAGAAGGCAAATGAAATGTACAAATTAAGCCCAAGATTAAAATTTTAAAAAGAGTCACCAAATGGAACAAGTTAAATATTTATTTATGCAAGAATGCCTAAAGTCCCAAGGGCAAAGACGTCACATCAGAAAATATTTAAAAAAAAGATACTAGAGGAAATTCAAGAAATCAGGAACAAATGAAACCATTAGAAGAAAAGCAAGAGGAGGAAAGATCAAAAGTGGATGATCTGAGGGGGACCCCGATGTCAGTAGGAACCTTGGAAGAGATCATTGATGACAATCATGCCATCGTGTCTACATCTGTGGGCTCAGAACACTACATCAGCATTCTTTCATTTGTAGACAAGGATCTGCTGGAACCTGGCTGCTCGGTCCTGCTCAATCACAAGGTGCATGCCGTGATAGGGGTGCTGATGGATGACACGGATCCCCTGGTCACAGTGATGAAGGTGGAAAAGGCCCCCCAGGAGACCTATGCGGATATTGGGGGGTTGGACAACCAAATTCAGGAAATTAAGGAATCTGTGGAGCTTCCTCTCACCCATCCTGAATATTATGAAGAGATGGGTATAAAGCCTCCTAAGGGGGTCATTCTCTATGGTCCACCTGGCACAGGTAAAACCTTGTTAGCCAAAGCTGTAGCAAACCAAACCTCAGCCACTTTCTTGAGAGTGGTTGGCTCTGAACTTATTCAGAAGTACCTAGGTGATGGGCCCAAACTCGTACGGGAATTGTTTCGAGTTGCTGAAGAACATGCACCGTCCATCGTGTTTATTGATGAAATTGACGCCATTGGGACAAAAAGATATGACTCCAATTCTGGTGGGGAGAGAGAAATTCAGCGAACAATGTTGGAACTGCTGAACCAGTTGGATGGATTTGATTCTAGGGGAGATGTGAAAGTTATCATGGCCACAAACCGAATAGAAACTTTGGATCCAGCACTTATCAGGCCAGGCCGCATTGACAGGAAGATTGAGTTCCCCCTGCCTGATGAAAAGACGAAGAAGCGCATCTTTCAGATTCACACAAGCAGGATGACGCTGGCTGATGATGTAACCCTGGATGACTTGATCATGGCTAAAGATGACCTCTCTGGTGCTGACATCAAGGCAATCTGTACAGAAGCTGGTCTGATGGCCTTAAGAGAACGTAGAATGAAAGTAACAAATGAAGACTCAAAATCTAAGATGTTTTTTGAAAGGGAGCGACTGTCCAAGGGCCAGAAATGTTAATTCTAATGCAGAATTGGTGCCTTCCTTCCAAAAAGAATCTTTCTTTTCTTATGCCCAGGGTTGTGGGCAGCATTTTGGTGAAAGATCAGGTTAATTTTATCATTGCGAATTTTAGTTTCTCCAAAAAAATTTTTTTTCCAATTCATTTTATATCAGTTCAATCCTGGTTTAGTTCGAAAGATACTTTAATATTACTATATTGTTCCAGTTCAATACTTTTAGAAAATGAATAGGCTTGGTTCTGGTTCAAACTGGCTTACTAGGTGTTGCTGTTTTTTTTTTTTTTTTTTTTTTTTTTTTTTTTTTTTTTTTTTTTTTTTTTTTTTTTTTTTTTTTTTTTTTTTTTTTTTTTTTTTTTTTTCTTACTAGGTGTTGCTGTTTTGAAAAATTCTTGGTTCAGTGCTCAGCTCAGTGGAAAAAGAAAAAAGATTAATTTAAGGCTTAGCTTGGTTCAAGGTTCACAAATTAGAGCAGTTCCTTCCAGGGTGGTTCACACTTGAGCTGGTGCCCAGTTATGAATTCAGCTCACAGGCCTGGTATTCGTGGCCTTTGCCCTGCACGGAGCCTTTGCAGCCTCTTTAGCCCTCACATGTTTATCATCATCTCCCTCCAACCAGGGTGGGTATTTGGGAAGTTAGAGAGCCTCTTGCTGCTGCACAGCACTACCTCTTGGCTAGCCTGGATTAGGGGTCCTTGGGGGCTCCTCTTTGGCTGAGGAGGGGCTACAAGAAGCAAACCCATCCACTCCCTTGAAACCCTCCCTCCCCCACCCCTTTCAGGCCTGTGGCCACATCATCTGGCCTCTGAGGCCTCCCTGATCATTCTTAGAATAACCACCATCCCCCCCACCATCCTCACATTCCCAGGTAATGTAATGCTTGTTCTTTGTAGCATTCACCAGTGACTGGCAGGCTCTAGGTACTGGTTTTTCCTGTGTCCCCCACTAGATGTTAACTCCACAAGGTCAAAGGGCTTTGCCTCTTTTTTACTATCAAATCCTCCATTGTGTAGAAGTGTCTGGAATATAGTAGATGACCATTAAATATAAGTTAAATATTGAATAAACCTCCTCGGTCTACATCTACAGCTGATAGCTAAAGATTTGCAAGGACAAGCAGGATTAGAGCTGAAAAAAAAAAACTGCATTTGATTTCTTTAGATTATTAAGAATATCTCTTTCTAGTGGGGTTTTCCCTCATAATACCCCTTTCCCTTTCTTTTCATCTTTCGCTATCTCCAAACTCTAGAGTGAAGCAAAGAAAAGTATATGTGCATTAATAGGCTGTGTCCTGCCCCTCCAAACTTCTATTTCTCTCTCTCCTCTCCTTCCTTAGAGAAGATGAGTTTCTCTGGCTCTTCTCAACCAGTAGAGAAGACCTTTGTGTCCCCAGTGAGCTGGGCTTTGGCAGAAGAGAGTGGCTTGCTGACTGCAGGACAGAAAGTGGGTGAGCACAGGAGCAAGCAGGGCTCTATAAGCCAGGTGCCTGGGGACTGCTTGGTGAGGATTCTGCTGACCATAGACTCTCTCTGGGGCCTCCCGGTGCTGATCCTCTGCCTGTAAGCTCCTGGGCCTGTGTCCAAAGGGAATCTGGGCTGAGCCTCCTCTCCTCTCTGAAGTAGCTTTTCAGCTGCCAGTAACAGACTAAATTAATCCTAAATTTAATATAAATATATTTTTAATGCAGAGAAGTAATTTCTGTACTAAAAAATATACAGCACTCCTAATATGGCATTTTTTGGATACTGCAGCGCATATATACACGGAAAATATGTGAAAAGAATTAGAATAAAGATTTGATCCACCCAGTATCAATACTCTTATTTAACTGATCATACAAATGTGTCTTGCTCCCCACCCTGGTCCCCACCCCAACCATGCATAACCAAGGTTTTCTTTACCCGGTACCAGAGGCCACATTGATGAGCCAAAGCGAAGTTCACAGAGTGCTCTAAAGGCTCATCAAAAAGTTCTCTGGGAAAATTAAGAATATAGTCACACAGTCAACAAAGTCCAGGAGGGAGCAACCCGCAGGGAGTGCTGAGCAGCCCCACGGCCTGCCGCTGGCCTGGTTTCCGTCATACTCGGGAGGATCGCAGCCGCCGCCGCCAGCTCCAGTCACAGTCACCAGAGCCAGGAGCAGCAAGGTCCCAGCCCAGTAGCCGCCAGCCGTCCCCACCGCCCCCGTCCCTGCCCTTGGTGCGGCCGGCACCAAGCCCAGCACCACGGACAGCGCCGGCGCCTGCCACTGGGGAAAAGGGTCATCGTAAGGAAAGTTTTGGGTACAATAAAATGTTTCAGTGTAAGAAACAGATACAGTTTCACCAAGAGGAATGATACCAACGAAGATGCATTTGTGCAGCAGACTGCTGTAAAGAAGAATAACCCCAGGAAGCACCTTCGCAGGGTAGGAGATGGAATGACTGTGGAGTTCAATGTCGTCTAAGGAGAAGAGGGTCCTGGCAGCGACACAGGCCCTGGTGGAATTCCAAGTCAAGGAGGAAAACATGGAGCAGGCCGTAACCATGATAGACTCCACGTCGTAGGGGTCCTCAATAGTGAGAGAGAAAAAGAACAGGATGGGACAGTGGTCCCACAGGGTACCCATCTCACTACAGTCAGAGAACCTATGGACGACCACAGTATTCCCACCCTCCCGTGCAGGGAGAAGTGGTGGAGGTGCTGACAGCCAGGGCGCAGGGGCACAAAGTAAAACAGTGAGGCAGGATGTGGATGGGGCTAGAGATCAGGGTTCCTCAGGGGCTCTCCTCGCCAAAGACGGCGGAGAGAGGACAGCAATGACACGGGTAAGGAAAACCAAGGCAATGAACCCAGGGTCAGTAGACACCTCAGCCTCAGGGCAGCCACAATTTCAAGTACTGGCCCTGATGCTCAGAACACCCCAAACCACAAGATGGCAGAGACAAAAGCTGAGAATTCATCCACTCCTGAGGCTGAGCAGAGTGGGGCTGAGTAAATGTGGGCTTACCATCTCCACTACCATTCCATTTAGTCATCCAACAGGAAGAAAAGGATATGAAATTCCAGCATTAAGAAATGAGCAAAATATTGGAGCTGAAGAACTTAAGCCCTTGCTTTTTACCCATTGACCAGATAACTAGAACTATTTGCATTATCTATGCAGCAAGGTTTTTTGTTGTTGTTATTTTTACCTAAAGATGTCTTTTTTTGATAATGACAGGCATGTTGTTTTTGAAAAACCTGGTTTTCCTCAATACACCTTTAAAGGTTTTAAAATTGTTTTATGTCTGGTCAAGTTGAGATGTTTAAGAACTTCATTTTTAATTTGGAGAAAAAGTTTACAACTTGATTTTTCCAAAAGGCAAGTACCTATTAATGAAGGTCTTAAATAATTGTCAGAAAGAAAGTCCAGGAGAAAAAAGTAAGCAAATTTGTCTACTTACCATTTAGTTTCCCCACTGGTTAATTGGAAAAGCAAATAGAACCTAAAAATGGGCTGTTTTCTTTGAAAGCAATATACACTTTTTTCTTTTACTATTTTGTTATATTTGTCTTTGGCATTACAATTTCGTTACGATATGTTGAGTTGTGGACTTTTTGATGTGACCTTCTTGAGATTAAATGTGTTTCCTGAAACTGTTTAATTTCATTAGTTTTAGATAAGTACATTATCTCTTTAAAAATTGCCTCTTTTCCAATATTCTCCCTTTCTCCTTCTGAAATTCTCATTAGATATCTGTAGACTTTCTCATTCTATCCTCCACAGCTCTTATCCTCTCATTTTTCCATCTCTTTACCTCTCTGGATTGCATTATGTATACTTTCCTTAGATTTACTTCAGTTCACTAATCTTCTTTAAAGTTAAGTCTAATTGGCTGTTAAATCTGTTAAATATAATCATTAAATTTTGACTATTATAATTTTCATTTCTAAAATTTTAACTTGATTCTTTGTCAAATCTGCTTAATCATTTAAAGCGTCATATTCCTTTGTCATTTCCTAAGTTTCTTTGTTAATTACTTTAAACGTATTAAACCTAGTTATAATCTGTGTCTATTAATACTGAGACAAGAATGCTTTGGTTTATTGTGCTTCACTTCAATGCACTTTGCAGATATTGTATTTTTTTAAAAAAAACTGAAGACATGTGGCAACCCTGCATCACGCAAATCTATCAGCACCATTTTTTCCAATAGCATATGCTCACTTCAGCTCTCATCACATTTTTAGTTACTCTCCCTGTACTGCAATCCAGTGAAATATGGTGAGAGTAACCAAAAGTTACTGCATTTCTCATTACTATTATATGTGTTATGGTGATCTATGATCAGTGATATATGATGTTACTATTGTCACTGTTTTGGAGCACCACAAACCACATCCATATGAGATGGTGAACTTAATAAATGTGTGTGTTCTGACTCCTACACTCACTGGCCATTCCCACATCTCTCTCCCTATCCTCAGGTCTCCCTGTTCCCTGAGACACAATGATACTAAAATTAGGCCAATCAATAATGCTACAATGACCTCTAATTGATCAAATGAAAGGAAAAGTCACACATCTCCCACTTTAAATCAAAAGCGAAAAATGATTAAGTTTAGTAAGAAAGGCTTCTTGAAAGCTGAGTTAGGCTGAAAGTTAGGCCAAAAGTTAGGCCTTTGCACTAAACAGTTAGCCAGGTTGTGAATGCAAAGGAAAAGTTCTTGAAGAAAATTAAAACCGCTTCTCCAGTGAACATATCAATAAGAAAGTAAAACAGCCTTATTGCTGACACATAGAAAGTCTGAATGGTTTTGACAGAAGATCAAATCAGCTACTACATTCCCTTAAGTCACAGCCTAATCCCTTAACCCATAGCCTAATCCAGAGCAAGACTCTAACTCTCTTTAATTCTATGAAGGCTGAGGGAAGTAAGGAAACTACAGAAGAAAAGTTTAAAGCCATGAGAAGCTGGTTCATGAGGTTTAAGAAAGGAAGTCATCTGGATAACATAAAGGTGCAAAGTAAAGCAGCAAG